GCAATAATTTTAATTATCTCACCTTGGACCTGGAGCAGCTTCTCCATTCCCAGGGTCAGACATCCCTCTGTCTTGGCACAGGCTCTTCCCATTTTTCATCCAGTGCTGTGGTTTGGGGCTCTCCCTCCCTGCCTGAGGCTCTTTAGCCCCTCACATTTTTCTCCAGGGTTTTTCTCTGGGGCTGTGAAGGTGCCTGGACTCTACAGCACAATTAAAACGTGCTGGCACAGGGAGTGGGGGATGTAGGGCCAGGGTTTGGGGGGCTGCAAAGAGATTGCTGGTGTGTTACTCTCCCCAACTTGTCTTGGGACATGGGCAGTTGAACTCCTCTGTGTGTGATGCTTGGTGCTCTCTCAGGGGCACTTTTGGACTGCAGGGATATGTGGCAGAGAGAAGGGTGGATGAGCCCAGGATGAGCACCAGGAGCATCATCCTCTTCTCCAAAAGGGCAGTTGGTCTGGTCCCTGAGATGGGAATGGAGCTGCCATGGGCACCTTTGCACTGGAGTGGGAGAGCTCCTTCTGTCTGGGGAACCTGCTGGGATTTTAGGCTCTTCCTCACCAGCAGTCCCGTTCCCAAAAAGCACTTTTTAGTTTGGAGTTTGCATGGCAGGAGGCTGTCCTGGGCCTTGGGGTGTGGGAGAGACCTGTGTTGCTCTGATGTGCCCTCATTTACTGGTGAAGAGCTTTTCTTCCAGCACAAATGATGCTTTTTGCTGCCACAAAGCTTCAGAAATCCCTGGTGGGAGCAGAGCTCTGGCAATGTGGGCAGCAAGGTTGGATCTGGGCAGGGGAAATGTCATATCAGTGTCCTGAAGTGGTGAGTGACCAAAACTAAACGCCAACAAGGCTTTGGGGGGCCTCTGTACCCCATTGCTGGGGAGTCAGTTGTGCCCAGAAGGTCCGAAGGAGGGGACCTGGAGGGGATCCCTTGCTGGTCCCAGAGGCAGGGGGATCCCAGCTGCCTCTGTAGGGCCCCCCCCGACTGAGGTGGTGGCAGTGGGGTTGTTTCCAGGTCTCTGCAGTGAAATCACAGAGTCCTGCCCTGCAGGTGTGGGAGCTGGACCGTGCTGTCCCCATGGGAAAGGCTGGTGTGGGTTAAACAAGCAGGAGCAGAGTTAAATCTGAGCTGAAGAGTTCCTTTCCCAGTCTCTGTTTGAGGGGAACACCCTGGTGGGGCTGCAGGGGGCTGCTGAACTGGGGCTGTTTGGAGCTGCCTTCTGGACTGGGACCATCTCCTGGACTGGAGGTGCCTGTGGGATTGTCCTGGGCTGGCTCTGACCAAAGGTGGCACTGGCTCAGCCTCCCTTGTCAGATGCTCCTCGTTGTAGGTGAAAGCTTTTCCTGACCATTCCAGTTTCCAAGGCTGGCAAGGGGTTTATAAATGGCTTTATAAATGGCCAGGGCTGCCCCTGTGGGTCAGGTTACTTTGGGAATTCTCCCTCATCCATGTGCTGCCCCAGGAGGGGGTTGGCAAACCATCTTCCTTTCCCAGTTGTGCTGGCAAGAACAGTCACCTCTGTGCTCGAACTACAGCCCGTTCAACGTGGCACCTGAGTGCCCATGGCTTCCCTGGTCTTCTGGCTGAGCTTTGGGAGAGGTTTTGCCTTGCCCAGCTGTGACTGGAGCTCTGTCTCCTCTGTGTGTGCAGAAGGGATGCCCTGGGCTTGGCTGGGGGGTGCTGGAGCAAGGGGGCACAAATCCAGTGGGCACAAATCCAGTGGGCACATCTGCCCCTACTTGGGTGAAAACAGGGCTTTGAGTCCTATGGTTTGTAGAGGAAAAGTGCCTGGAGTTTCTTTCCTGCTGTTTCTCTGTCTTCCTAAGTGTTTCTTACTAAGAATAGCTGCTGTTTCACCTCATGCCTGCCCTCCACCAGCTGCTTGGGGCAGCATTTCAGACTTCAGCTTGAGCTGCACAGAGTGAGTGACCTTGTTTTCCAGAGACCTTTTTTGAAGGGGCAGGAACTGGGTTTTGCCTTCATTTACCCCTTAAGGAGCTGCCACAGGAGGAAAGGTCTGTGAAACCAGTTCCCTGCAGCCCTCGCTGGGGGGTCACACTACAGGAAGTGCTGAGCAGGAATCAAGTGTGCTGGCATCACACTGGGATGGTTTTCCTCTCGGAAATCAGAAGTGGAGCAAGCCACAACTGAGATAAGATAACTTTTAGTTTATTCAGGGCATTGTTTACTTGATCTCTGGAGAAGACTTGCCCTGCTCCTCGTCCTCAGCTTGTCCCACAGCTCCTGCATCAGTTTGGCTGCTGAAAAATAGGTGAAGCAAAGAAGTCAAAAGCTGTGGTGGAGATTTGGAAGAGCCTTCCTCTTTTCCTTTGCTCTTACACACAAACAGGAGCTGCCTTGGGTCCTGCCCTTCCCTCCCTGCTGTGGGATGAGACCCATAGTCCTGAGGGCCCACCGGAGCACGTGGAAAGCTCCTGAGAACACCAAAGCGTGAATTTCCAAGAGTGGGGGGCACCAGAATCAGATTGAGAGCTCTGAGACCCCCTGAAAGTCACATCAAATAAGAGA